AATAAATAAACGTTGAAAAAAAAAAATTTAAAAAAAAAAGAAATCTCCTATGAATATCTCATTGTCCAAGAACAATTTCTATCATTGATTATATCTATTAAAATCAAATATCAGGGGCGCCTGGGTGGCGCAGTCGGTTAAGCGTCCGACTTCAGCCAGGTCACGATCTCGCGGTCCGGGAGTTCGAGCCCCGCGTCAGGCTCTGGGCTGATGGCTCGGAGCCTGGAGCCTGTTTCCGATTCTGTGTCTCCCTCTCTCTCTGCCCCTCCCCTGTTCATGCTCTGTCTCTCTCTGTCCCAAAAATAAATAAATGTTAAAAAAAAAAAAAAAAAATCAAATATCAGTCTACTTTCAAAGTGCTATGACTTTTTACTTAGATGATTTTAAGATCTACTCCATTATCTTTGTTTTTTTAGTAGTTTTACCCTGATATGGCTATGTGTGAAAAGAAAAAAATTATAGCCTTGCTTTTCATTAATGGGGTACCTCTGTATCTTCCACTGGCTTGTTTTGCTCTCAACCATTAGCTCTTCAAATATTGCTTCTTAAATATTCTCTCCTTCTGGGACTCAAATTATATGGATCTTTTCTCTTCTCCCCCTATCCATTTTTACTATTACTACTTTAGAGAGAGAGTGGGAGAGACATAGAGCTCCAGCATGGAGCCCAATGCGGGGCTTGATCCCACAATCCTGGGATCATGACCTGAGTCAGAATCAAGAGTCAGATGCTTAACTGACTGAGCCACCCAGTCACCCTGTCTTTTATGTTTCCTACCTTCTTTCTGTATTTCCCAATCTTTTATCACTTTATGCTTCACTGTCAGTATTTTCTCCTTACCTATATTCTAATTCATTAATTTTGCTTCTGTTGTATCACGGCTTCTATTTAACCAGTCCATAAACTGGCATATTAATGTCAACTTTATTTTTTTTAACATTTATTCATTTTTGAGAGACAGAGAGAGACAGAGCGTGAGTGTGGAGGGGCAGAGAGAGAGGGAGACACAGGATCTGAAGCAGGCTCCAGGCTCTGAGCTGTCAGCACAGAGCACGGTGGGAGGCTTGAACTCACAAACCGTGAGATCATGACCTGAGCAGAAGTCAGAAGCTTAATCAACTGAGCCACCCAGGCACCCCCAAAATGTTTATTTATTTGTTTTGAGACAAAGAGAGAGCAAGGGTGGGGGGAAACAAGAGAGAGAGGGAGACACAGAATCCAAAGCAGGCTCCAGGCTCTGAGCTGTCAACACAGAGCCCGATGTAGGGCTCGAACCCACGAACCTCAAAATGGTGACCTGAGCTGAAGTCAGACGCTTAACTGACTGAGCCACCCAGGTGCCCCTCATATCAACTTATAATATCTTTATTTGTTTATTTTTCCCAAGTCCTCTGTTTTAAAAAGTAACTTCTGGTTTTCTGCTACAATTGCTGATCTTCTCCCTTATGGTCCGACTCATGTAAACATAGCGCTTCAAAAGTCTGTCTGGTAGATCAAATCTTGTCATCCTCACAGCTCTGCTTTAGCTTCTAGGGTTTCTACTGGTTCTTGTTCATGTCACCTTGTTTCCTTGTGTACCTAGTTATTTTTATTAGGGGCTGAATATTACACTTTAAAAATTCTTCTAGGAGTAGCGTGAGGCCTTGGAATGATTATCTTTTCTTCCAAAGAAAATATATGTTTACATCTGGAAAGCTTCTGGGGTTACAATGATTCAAGATTTTTTTAATGCGAACCAGACTGCAGTCTCTGCAAGGCCACCCACTTCTGGCTCCCTCTCACTTCCAGGACTGTAGGGCTTTGGGTCCCAACCCAAAGCATGGCTTCTTTTCCTTTGCTGTCCCTGAATACCAACCTTTCCCCCCACCCCCACCAGCCCTGTGATGTGCTCCTTTACCTCAGTCCCTCTGCAGCCTGTTCCCAAATTAGGCAAATGTGTCAAAAGGGGACTGTGGCCCAAAAATACTAGGCTCACCTCCTTGAATTTCCACCTCCTCCCAGAACGTAGCCGAATATGTATTACCTCATTAACTCTCCAGGGCCTTCAAGCAGATTTTTAATTTTGGTTTTATTTGTCATTGCCCTCAGAGAAAAAAAGCTCAGTTGACATTATTCAATCCATCATTACCCACATGTAGTATTTTTGTTTTAATCTCTTTCTTGAGTCTTTGGATTCCAGTTCCTTTTAAATTTGTAGCCTCCTGTTTCAAAGTGCTATGCCACCCAAGGACCTCAGTTTCTAATGATTTATTTACTCAAACAAGTCTTTGAGTCACACAACTGAATTTGCTGATATAGACACCTTCTACATATGTTGTGGCTTTTCCACCATAAGAATTTTGTTGTTGTTGTTGTTGTTGTTGTTGTTGTTGTTGTTTTAGAGAGAGAGCTAGTGAGTGGGGGAGAGGGGCAGAGGTAGAGAAAGAGAGAATCACAAGCAGATTCCAGGCTCAGCGCAGAGCCTGATACAGGTCTCAATCCCAGGACCCTGGGATGCTCAACTGAGTGAGCCACCCAGGCACCCCTCCACCATAGCGACATTTCAAATTCTGTATGACTGGAATGCTCTTCTTTCTGTCCCAGCACCTCAAATCTCAGCGGAAGGGTCATTTTCTCAGGAAAGCCCTTCCAAGCTTCCTCGATTCAGTTGTAGCAACTATGTATTTGACCCCAGGAATTTATGCAGAAGAAACCATATTACTTCATTTTCTTTAATTCTAATTAAATTTGGTATTGAGATTCCATCCCTTTCTACTGCTGGAAAATTTATCCTTTAATCATTTGTTGGATGGGGTTCAGGGAGGTCTTATTGCCCAGATCAATACAAGAACCCTGATGCTTCAGTTGGGGAACTGGGAATATATATAATGTATATATTTAATCCACAGTGGTCACCCTAATAACCTCATTGTTCAAACTCACATGTTCCCTTGAAGTCAAGTGGTTCCAAGCCTTCTATGCCAAGATTGTACATGGGAGTCCCTGGCAAAACTGGATCCCTAGTCCTTGATCTAGGGACTCTTCTCTAGAGTCTCTCTAGGGACTCTCTGCCTTCTCTAGGGACTCTCTGCTTTTCCTCAAATAGCTGCCAGAGATCCAGTTTATGGTTTCTTGTCCCCTGAGGGACGTACTAAGTCAGGAGGAATCTCCTGCCTCAGTGGCATTCTTCTCACACCCTTTCTCCCAGTAAAAATTCCTCAGTGAGTTCAGGCTTTTATGGGTGGGGGAAAGCCAACAAAGAATTTGCCTTCAGGGGCTTTCTGATCTTGGCCTTGCACACAAAGCCCCAGTTTGACAAGAGACACTGGCTACCTGTTGGAAGAGAGGAGGAGGGGAAATGGCAGCATAAACAATTCACAAAATAATGTCAGTATGTTATCCTGAGAAAAGTTTAAGTCCATGATTGTCCATTTTTAAAACACATAGACCCATCCCATATAGTACCTATCATGGTTTCCATTTTATCTGTGTGATTATTTTAATATCAGTCTTCTTGCTTGCATAATGTGACCTCCTTACCTCCATAATGATCACAGAGATCATGCCTAGCTATGATCACTCCTATAGTCTATCAGCAAACGTCATACCTGCCAATAATAATCATTCAATAAGCCTTTGTTGAGGGGCACCTGGGTGGCTCAGTCGGTTAAGCGTCCGACTTCGGCTCAGGTCAGGATCTCACGGTCTGTGAGTTCGAGCCCCGCGTTAGGCTCTGTGCTGACAGCTCGCAGCCTGGAACCTGCTTCGGATTCTGTGTCTCCCTCTCTCTGACCCTCCCCCATTCATGCTCTGTCTCTCTCTGTCTCAAAAATAAATAAACGTTAAAAAAAAAAAAACACCTTTGTTGAATTAATGAACGGACAAATAATTCAGTGAATGGGACTGCACAAGCTCCATCAGTAGAAAAAGTTCTAAAATTAAATATTTTGCTTTCTTGTAGCTGTCTCCTATATATAATCTGGTTCCAGTGAAAATAAAAGACGCACACCTAAAGAAACAGAATTTAGAAAGAGCCCTTGAAGATTATATCACTGAATTCAATGTGAGGAAATGCAACCCATGCCAACATGGAGGTACTGTGATCCTGCTGGATGGAGAATGTCTGTGTACCTGCCCAATGGCATTTACAGGAATTGCCTGTGAAACCAGAAAAAACCCAAAAACTTCTCAAGGTGAGAGCAACTTATTTTATATCACTAGGGACAAAACTATGCATTTTGAGGTTACTTAATTTGAAAATTAGGTCTTAAACTAACGTGTATTAAACGTCTAGGCTATCCATGTAAACAGAGGATAAATAGTGAACACATAAAATGGACAAAGCAGACTTTATAGGTCTTTTAGCATGCAATTTTACATCTTCTACCTCTACATTTAAACAGAACTATTATTTTTTTAACTGTAATGATTGGCCCTTGAACAACATGAGTTTGAACTGAATGAGCCCACTTATATGTGGATATTTTACAGTATAGTACTATACATATATTTTCTCTTCCTTACAACTTTCTTAATAAAATTTTCTTTTCCCTAGCTTACTTTATTGTAATAATACCCTATATAACACATATAACATACAAAGTGTGTATTAATCAACTCTTTATGTTATTGGTAAAGCTTCTGGTCAACAGTAAGCTCTTATTAGTTAAGTTTTGGGAGAGTCAAAAGTTATACATAGATTTTCAACTGTGTGGGGCATCAGTACCCCTAACCTTTGTTAGCATTGTTCAAGGGTCAACTATAATTTTTTTAAGCAAGTAAGCAAAATTCCTAATCTCTCTAAAAGTCTTTTAATATTTTTCAGTGAAGGTTTCTTCACATGTTCTTATAAATACCCTTGCATAAGATGCACTTCAAAGTTGAATACCCAAGACCTATGTCTTTTAGGTTTGCTTTTTCAGATTGCAAGAAACAGATACAGACAATACAATTGCCTCCACAAGTACAGTTCGTGTTTATGAAGATCTGAAATATAATTTATCACTGTTAAAGATACAAAACCCTCTCAAGATATTCAAAAATTGCTGTAGCAACCTAATTATCTTGTTGTTAATACTGTAATAACACTGCCATTTTCATGACTCGGTTTCTCTCTCTCTTTATCACCTCTGCTTCTACTGCTTCTGACTATCTTTTCTCAGTGCCTTCTGCATTCAAAATTTCCTAAGACTCTATGGAGGATGTCATGGTACACAGCCCAGGTCTGCCTTCAGGATCAAGCACCCATCCCCCCACCTCCTATGAGTGTTACCTGCTGACATTTCACAGCTGAGTCTCTCTTCAGGAATTGCCCTGTAACAAGGGAGTGGTGCCCAAGATTATGCTCCCAATCTGAAAGAAGCCCATATCTGATAACTGGTCAATGTGGTTGGTATCTGATGGGCCGCCCCTCTTGCGTCAATTGGGACAGCTCTGGAGCACTATTCAGCTTTGGAGCTTCTTGTATGATTTGCTGAAGCCTCTGTTGCAAGAGCATTACAATTGAACTTCCCCTTATTCCCAGTTGTGCTACCCATACTCCTAACATATTTTCCCCCCAAAACACATGCTAATAAATCTATTGCATACAAACTCAGATGCTCGGAGTCTCTTTCCAAGGAAATGCTATCTGCTACAAAATCTGGTTGGGTCAATTGAATATTATTCCATTATCCAATACATAGTGTTCCGAATAGGAGGAATTTCTAATGATAGCATAAGCTCCTGGCCTTCCTTATGTCTGTTCTATATATAGCGGACTTTTGCCAAGGCACTGACTTTTGTTTCAAACATATATGGACACAGTAGCAGGGTCAATTATCTAAAACAAGGTTTTTATATGTTTGCTTTAATAAAAGCAAAAACTAGACTGTGGGCACAGAAGGTGCTTGGGACTCATGGACTCACAGTAAGATACACTTGTAAAAGACTAACCAAAGACTTGAATTTGGGGAAGGTGTTCAGGAACTATTTGGTATTATTATTATTGATGCTCATCTCTACATCTTTTTCTTAATATGCAAGCAAATAAGAAACACACACACACACCTTCCTTCTCGATTTGTGTTCTTAACCCAATGGTAGTAAAGTATATACACTGATCCATGTCTGGTTTCATCACTTAAAATATATCTTAGGAATGTTTCCTTATTGTTTTTTATTATTATTATTATTATTATTATTATTATTACTTATTCATTTTTATTTAAGCTAAAAAAACCAGATCACCAATTTCTCCCATTCCACCCCCACCTCCACCTCTCACAACCACCAATCTGTTCTCTATGAGTTTGGTGTTTTGTTTTTCTGTTTCTTTAGATTCCACGTATAAGAGATTATATAGCACTTCTCTTTCTCTGTATGACTTATTTTATTTGCCATGATGCCCTCAAGGTGCATAAATGTTATTCTTTTTTATGGCTGAATAATATTCCATTGCATATATATACCACAGTTTCTTTATCCATTTATCCATTGATGGACACTTAAGTTGCTTCCATGTCTTGGCTATTATAAATAGGGCTGCAATAAACATAGGGGTGAATATATCTTTTTGAGTTAGTGTTTTCATTTTCTTCAGATAAATAACCAGAAGATAAATAACCAGAAGATCCACCAGAATTGGTGGATCATATAGGAGTTCTATTTTTAATTTTTTTAGGAAACTCCGTAACATTTTCCATAGTGGCCGCACCAATTTACATTCCCACCAGTAGTGTGCATGGGTTTACTAACACTTGTTATCTCTTGTCACATCTTCACGAACACTTATTGGTTTTTTATCTTTTTGATAATAGCCATTCAAACAGGTGTGAGGTGATATCTCCCTGTGGTTGCGATTTGCATTGATATTAAGCATCCTTCATGTTCCTATTGGCCATCTTTATGTCTTTTTTGGAGAAATGTCTCTTCAGATCTTCTTCTGCCCATTCCTTAATCAAGTTATTATTATTATTATTATTATTATTATTATTATTATTATTTGCTATTGAGTAGCATGAGCTCTTTATGAATTTTGGATATTAGCCCCTTATCAGATATATGGTTTGCAAATATTTTCTCCCATTCAGTAGGTTGCCTTTCCATTTTGTTGATTTCCTTTGCTGTGCAGAAGCTTTTTAGTTTGCTGTAGTCCCACTTGTTTTTTGCGTTTTGTGTTTTGTTTTTGTTTTTCTGTTTGTTTTTTGTTTTTGTTTTTTTGCTTCTGATGCTTTTGCTTTTTGTGTTAGATTCAAACAGTCACTGCCAAGACCCATGTCAAGGAGTTTCCTATGTTTTCTTCTAAGAGCTTTATGGTTACAGATCTCACCTTCAAGACCTTAATCCATTTTTAATTAATTAATCCTACCCTATTGGATTATTTTCATACTTTTATCTCTTTGAAGATGTTAAACATGTTCATTTGGGAGTCTTTCTCTAGTTGCTCGAGAATATATAATTTCTGCACTGCAATTTTTTGCCTATTGAGTGTACTGATTCATTCTCATGGCATTTTTTTCTGACTTGTGTACTTAGTAATTTTTTTATTACAGGCTTAATCCTCAGTGGAAATTGTTTCCTGTGGGAATCCTGTTACTGTGGGTAGTCTTACGGTTCACTTGTTTTTTATGAAGTCCTGTTGTTTTCATTTATTTTGTACCAGTTTTTTATGTAAGTTTCTTCATTCAGTTTCCATATTTTGTGTTTAATGGATAATGAAGATCAAGTTCCCTTCCCCTACATACATGATAGTTCTAAGGACACTAATGTCTTCTGGTTGACTTTTCATACCTGACCGAGGATGGTCCACCAGTTCCTAGATGAGACACTAGATTATGGTGCAATCTTTCTTGCTGAATCTTTCTCTCAAAGGAAGCTCTTCCAGACAACCCATTTCCTACAAAATGTTCAGTTCCAGCATCCCATTTAAATTGGGATTGAAAACCTTAAACATCACCTTTTTTTTTAATTTAATTTTTTTTTTATTTTTTTAAATTTACATCCAAATTAGTTAGCATATAAGGCAACAATGATTTCAGGAGTAGATTCCTTAATGCCCCTTACCCATTTAGCCCATCCCCCCTCCCACAACCCCTCCATTAACCCTCTGTTCTTCTGTCGGTTGCCTTTTAGTTTTGCTGATTGTTTCCTTTGCTGTGCAGAAGGTTTTTATTTTGATGAGGTCCCAGTAGTTCATTTTTGCTTTTGTTTCCCTTGCCTCCAGAGATGTGTTGGGTAAGAAGTTGCTGCAGGCGAGGTCAAAGAGGTTTTTGTCTGCTTTCTCCTCGAGGATTTTGATGGCTTCCTGTCTTACATTGAGGTCTTTCATCCATTTTGAGTTTATTTTTCTATTTGGTGTAAGAAAGTGGTCCAGGTTCATTCTTCTGCATGTCGCTGTCCAGTTTTCCCAGCACCACGTGCTGAAGAGACTGTCTTTATTCCATCGCATATTCTTTCCTGTTTTGTCAAAGATGAGTTGGCCATACGTTTGTGGGTCCATTTCTGGGTTTTCTATTCTGTTCCATTGATCTGAGTGTCTATTCTTGTGCCAGTACCATACTGTCTTGATGGTTACAGCTTTGTAGTATAGCTTGAAGTCTGGGATTGTGATGCCTCCTGCTTTGGTTTTCTTTTTCAAGATCGCTTTGCTATTCAGGGTCTTTTCTGGTT